GCTTGAGCCACAGGCGCTGAGCCCCCACTCCAAATTCTTACACTGAAGTCCTAACTCACACTATCTCAGGATGTGCCCTTATATGATACAGGGTCATTGCCAATGCAACTAGTTAAGATGAAGTCATACCAGAGAAGGGTGTACCCCTATTTCAAAGGACTATAAAAAGGGGAAATTTGGACACAGATTTGCATACAGGGTGAATAGCATGTGAAGGGGAAGGCAGCCATTTTACAAGCCAAGGAGGGACTCCTGGACCCAATTCTCTCTCACAGCCCCTCACTAGGAACTAACACTGCCAACGCCCTGATTTCAGATTTCTAGCCCCCAGGACTGTGAGACAGTAATTTTCTGTTGTTTACGCCACCTCCTTTGTGGTACTTTGTCGTAGCACTACCCACACTCTAACACAGGAGCTTAGAGGTCAGTCAATGGTAGGAATCTCCTGGACAGTGTCCTGACAGGGGCCATCTAAACAATTACACAAGCCAGTTGAATCTCAGTCACTGACAGGCAAATCAAATGATCACTTGCTGAGGGCATCAGCACAACTCACGCACCAGAAACATAAGAAAATAGCAAATTTATCTAGAATTTTGCAACCAGAAAATCTAAAACATGAGCTATTTTAGATGTCTAGACATTTTGAGTCCTGTGACACAATCTTATCAGTGCCCAGGTGTTCTAAAAAGTCTTGTCCAGTTCTTTATAGGAAAACACTGGAGTGAAATAGAACAAAGTATTAAATAGAGATTCTCTGAGGAGCGAAATTGGGGGTAAAAGGTTATTCTCTTTTGATGTTTTGTATCTGTAGTATCTCATTACATAATGAATGTGTTGCTTGTGAATTTAAAAAAAAAAATTGTAGAGGGCATTCACCTTATTATTGTGTCAACTCTGACTCCATATAGTTTCACCTCCTTGGTCCTAATTCTCTACTCTGGAGTTCCATAGAAGACCCTGAATTTGTCCTACTTCTCAGGAAGAGGCAAGGTGAAAGGAAGAGTTTCAATCTTCTTACCCCTCTACTTACATTTTTCTAAAAGTCATTACTGCCACATAGTTAAAAAAAGAAAACAAAAAACCACTGGTTTGTATGACATACTCATTTTTCAATTCCAGTGTTTATATCCAGCTTCTTAATTCAGTGAATATTAGAAACTTTAGGTCTGTCACTTCCTAACTCACTTCCTGACTCATAACAGGGTTTGGAACAATTATGAAACAGGATGCAAATGTGGGATTGTAAACTGTCCCAGTCCAGGGAACAAATTTGAACCACTACTCTCCAGAGGGAGGTTGGAAGAGGCTCAGTCACCTCAACAAAAGTTTTGAGAAGGCAGGAAATTTATGTTAAGGAAAGCAGAGTAGACTCTAACAGACCAGATTGAGTGTTCGCTGATTAATGCTATGCTTGGCTCTCGAAGGATACACCTATTTAATATTTGTTGGATTTACTGTTTTTCTGTTTTAAGGGATCATTGCAAATAGCCTGGGAAAACTGGTTGTGACAAGAAGACTGAAAACCTGTAGGAAGTCGGGCAAAGGGAGTGGTTAAAATTCTAGCCGTCTCATCTTAGAAAATGAGACACACAATCCTCCTTGCTGTCCTTGTCTCAAAAATATAAAAGGCATTTTGTAAAAAAAAAAAAAAAAAGAAGAAGAAAAAAGACTGTAGATAAAAATTCAATTCATTCATATTTTAATCATGTAACTTACCTCATCTGCAAGACTTGATTCAAAATACTGATGGGCAGTATTGAGAGCAAGCTTTAGCCATATTTTATATTCCAGGGATGGCCAGAAAACATCAAAGCCTTCATATAAATCCTCCAGGGAGATAAAGCAGGCCTGAAACAAGACACCGGGCCACAGCAGTTTGATTTGGAACTAAATTACAAGATGATCACAAGACGCTTGCAGATTTAATCTTCATCTTACCTCTCCGAAAAAAACTGTCAATTCTAGCATAATGATGATACTCTGCCATTTTAAAGCACTGGCATTGTGAAAAAGGTTGTTTGCTACGTTTAAGGTATTAAATGTGCAGTCCAATTGTTAGGGAAGAGAGCAAACAGGTAGCAAGGGAGGTAGGTGTGGCTAAGGGCAGAAAGCAGAAACCCACTGGAATGCAGGAAAGAAACCATAGGATCAGATATTTGTGACTGGAGACTTTTTCCCAGCCCAAGGATGCACAGTGAGGAGCTCCTAGTGACCTTGACTGACCTGGTTTTGACCCCCAGTGAGTTTTTCATGAAGGATTCTGGGAAGATGCATGCATAGAAAAATGTTATATAACCTCAACCTGTTATGCAACCGGTTATATAACCCCAACCTCTCCGTTACCCAAACGTGGGAAAAGGCAACAAATCCTACCCCGGAAAGAGGCGGGACAAACTAGTGAATGTATAAAAGACGGTGTGTACTAAGACCTCCGGGCCTTCTCCACCTGCAGAAAGTGACCTGTCTCTTCCTCTGAGATGGATTTTCTCTTTGCAATAAACGCTGTGTGATTGCTTTGTATCTGGGATCACTCTGTCATCTGCTTGGTACCAATACTCATTCCTGACCCTGGGAACTGAGGACTAGGAAATATCAAAACAGACCTAACACAATTAATACTGTAGCCTTAATAATAGACCGGGTTCACCGATAACAGCAGGGATACAAAACGTAAATAAGCAATAGGCCAGGGAAATTTATGTCAGTCAATAGGCACAATGAAGGATACGGCTCCAGAGCCTGAGTTTCAGGAACTGAGACATAGACATTTGTCTTATTTTTGTTATCACAGTGGGTATAGTATTTGTTTCCAGAGGCAAACTGTTTACCTGA